GAGAGGGAAAGAATCTCAAGCAGACTCTGCACTGAGTGTGGAGCCCAATGTGGGGCTTAGTCTCACCACCCGGAGATTGCAACCCCAGCCGAAACCAAGATTCAGAAGCTTAACCGACTGTACCACCCAGGCACCTCTAGTGTTTTTGTATTCTTTGGGTAAATACCCAGTAGTGTGATTATTGGATCATATGGTAGTTCTATTTTTAATTTTTTGAGGAACCTCCATACTGTTTTCCACAGTGGCTATACCAGTTTGCATTCCCACTAACAGTGCATGAGGGTTCCTTTTTCTCCACATCCTCGCCAACACCTGTTGTTTCTTGTGTTTTTGATTTTAGTCATTCTGACAGGTGTGAGATGATACACCATTGTAGTTTTGATTTGCATTTCCCATTTCCCTGATGATGAGTGATGTTGAGCATCTTCATGTGTCAGGCATTTGTATGTCTTCTTTGGAGAAACGTCTGTTCATGTCTTCTTTTTTTTTTTTTTTTTAAGTAGGCTCCACACACCCAGTGTGGAGCCCAATGTGGGGCCTGAACCCACGCCCTGAGATCAAGACCTGAGCCGAGATCAAGAGTTGGACATTTAACCGACTGAGCCACCCAGGCACCCTTGTTCATGTCTTCTGTCCATTTTTTATTTGGATTATTTGGGGGGTTTTTTTGGTGTTGCGTTATATAAGTTCTTCTTTATATTTTTTGGCTATTAACCCTTTTATCAGATACATTATTTGCAAATATCTTCTCCTCTTCAGTAGGTTGTCTTTTAGTTTTGTTGATAGTTTCCTTTGCTATGAAGAATTTTTTATTTTGATGTAGTCCCAATAGTTTATTTTTGCTTTTGTTTCCTTTGTCTCAGGAGACGTATCTAGAAAAATGTTATGGCCAGGGTGCCTGGGTGGCTCAGTCGTTAAGCGTCTCAGGTCATGATCCCAGGGTCCTGGGATCGAGTCCCACATCGGGCTCCTTGCTCCGTGGGAAGCCTGCTTCTCCTTTTCCCACTCCCCCTGCTTGTGTTCCCTCTCTGGCTTTGTCTCTCTCTGTCAAATAAATAAATAAAATCTTAAAAAAAAAAAATAGAAAAATGTTATGGCCAGTGTCAGAGAAATTACTGCCTGTGCTCTCCTAGGATTTTTATCGTTTCAGGTCTCACATTTAGGTCCTTAATCCATTTAAAAAAAAAAAAAAGATTTTATTTATTTGAGAGAGACAAAGAGGGCACACAAGAGAGAGCACAAGCAGGGAAGGGGGTGGGGTGGAGAGGAGCAGAGCAGAGGGAGAAGCAGACTCCCCACAGAGCAGGGAGCCCGACTCGGGCCTTGATCCCAGGACCCTGGGATCATGACCTCAGCTGAAGGCAGATGCTTAACTGACTGAGCCACCCAGGTGCCCGGTCCTTAATCCATTTTGAGTTTATTTTTGTGTATGGTATAAGAAAGTGGTCTGGCTTCATTCTTTTGCATGTAGCTGTCCAGTTTTCCCAACACCATTTGTTGAAGATACTTTTTCCCATTGCATATTCTTGCCTCCTTTGTTAAAGAGTAATTGACCATATAATTGTGGGTTTATTTCTGAGTTTTCTATTTTGTTCCATTGATTGATATATCTGTTTTTATGCCAGTACCATAGTGTTTTGATTGCTACAACTTTGTAGTATAACTTGAAATCTGGACTTGTGATACCTCCAGCTCTGTTTTTCTTTTTCAAGATTACTTTGGCTATTCGGGGTCTTTGTGGTTCCATACAAATTTTATGATTGATTGTTCTAGTTCTGTGGAGAAATACTGTTTGTATTTTGATAGGGATTGCATTAAATCGGCAGATTGCTTTGGGTAGTATGGACCTTTTAACAATATTTGTTCTTTCAATCCACGAGCATGGAATATCTTTTCATTTGTTTGTGTTGTCTTCAGTTTCATCAGTGTTTATAGTTTTCATAGTCGTTTCAAGTCGTTCACCTCCTTGGTTAAGCTTATTCCGAGGTATTTTACTGTTTTTGGTGGTGCAGTTGTAAATGGGATTGTTTTCTTAAGTTCTCTTAAGAGAACTGCTATTTCTGCTATTTTATTATTAGTATATAGAAATGCAGTGGGTTTCTGTACACTGATTTTTGTATCCTGTAACCTTATTGAATTCAGTTATCAGTTGTAGTTTTTTGGTGGAGTCTTTAGGGTTTTCTATATATGGTACTATGTCATCTGCAAGTAGTGAAAGTTTTACTTCTTTCTTACCAATTTGGATGCCTTGTATTCATTTTTCTTGTCTGATTGCTGTGGCTAGGACTTCCAATACTATATATATGTATATTTTTTAAGATTTTATTTATTTATTTGATAGAGACTCAGTAAGAGAGGGAACACAAGCAGGGGGAGTGGGAGAGGGAGAGGGAGAGCAGGCTTCCTGCGGAGCAGGGAGCCCAATGTAGGGCTCGATCCCAGGACCCCGGGATCATGACCCGAGCCGAAGGCAGATGCTCAACGACTGAGCCACCCAGGCGCCTCCCAATACTGTATTGAATAGAAATGGTGAGAGTGGACATCCTTGTCTTGTTCCTGACCTTAGAAGAAAAGCTCTCAGTTTTTCACCATTGAGTATGATGTTAGCTGTGGGTTTTTTATATATGGCCTTTATTATGTTGAGGTATGTTCTCTCTAAACCTACTTCGTTGAGGGTTTTTATCATGAATAGATGTTGTACTTTGTCAAATGCTTTTTCTGCATCTACTGAAATGATCATATGGTTTTTATACTTTATCTTACTGATGTGATATATATCACATTGATTGATTTGTGAATATTGAACCACCCTTGTATCCCAGGAACAAATCCCACTTGATTGTGGTGAATGATTTTTTTAATGTATTGTTGGATTGGGTTTGCTAATATTTTGTTGAAGATTTTTGCATTTGTGTTCATCAGAGATATTGGCCTGTAGTTCTCTATTTTTGTAGTGTCTTTATCTGGTTTTGATATCAGGGTAATGCTGGCTTCCTAGAATGAATTTGGAAGTTTTCCCTTGCTCTTCTATTTTTGGGAATAGTTTGAGAATAGGTATTAACTCTTCTCTAAATGTTTGGTAGAATTCATCTGTGAAGCTCTTTGGTCCTGAACCTTTGACTGTTGGGAGTTTTTTGATTACTTACTCAATTTCATTGCTGGTAGTCGGTCTGTTCAAATTTTCTATTTCTTCCTGATTCAGTTTTGGGAGGTTATATGTTTCTATGAATTTATTCATTTCTTCTAGGTTGTCCAATTTGTTGGCATATAATTTTTCATAACATTCTCTTACAATCCTTTGTATTTGTGTTGTAGGACTTAGTGTTCTTGTAGTCATTTAAATAACTATGTATTATTAGTCTGTCTTTTCCCATAAGCTGTAAGCTTTACCAGGGCAGAAACAGTCTGTTTTGTTCATCATTATATTCCCAGTACCTAGCATATAGGTGCTAAAATACTTGTTGGCATACTGTCTCACATAGTTTCACATATCTAGGATATGTCTCATATAAAATTTAGAGAGCCATGTGCCTGTTTGGGCTTCCTCATAGCATGCTGGCCAGCTTCTAAGATGCATGGCATTTTTATGACCTAGTTTTGGAAACCATATAGTGTTATTTCTATCATACTTTATTGTTCTTCCCAGGTTCAAGGTGAGAGAATATGGACTTAGCAGCTTGAGAGGAGTGGCCACCTCAGCTTCTCCAAATTCCAATCTCGATGTATTCAATTAACCTAGAATGCACTGCCTGTGTACTTTATCTATTTTGGTCTGGCAAGTGATTCCAGGCATAAAGCTAGAGTCATCATAGGGCTCACCTCATTGTTTTCCTTCTCTCAGGGCTCACAATCCAATGCAATTCCTGTTGTCCACCATCTAATATCAGTTGTTTCATGTATTTTATCCAGTTTTCTAGTTTTGTACGGTGGAGGGGAAAGTTCCACACCAACACTGCAAGTTAGAGTATGAGTTTTACACCAAGGATTTCTTCTTTTATCCACTTAAGGTACATTTTAGTTTCCAAATGTAAAAATGAAGTCAACTTTGGGCTAGAATTAATAATTTGAGTTCGCTTCAGACCTGTCTCCAACTTACAACATGAAAATCAGCAAATCTCGTTTCTTTGGTTTTCATGCAAACTGAATTGAATATAAATTACCCTGTTCTCAGGGTTACTTCTCAGGCATTCCATAACAAGCAAGTGGAAACAAAAACAAATCACATTAAATAAAGATGAGGTTATATTTATAGTTAGTTGACAAAATTTACTTCCCTAACCTTTTCTGGTACAAATTCATACTGTAAAGTATAAAGGGGCTGAGAGTGGATAAGACTGGCTGTTTCACTGCTCTTCCTCCTAGTAATAACCAATTAGTATTGAACCCGAGGAACTGTGTAAGCCTTTTATGTGAATTAACTCACCAAATCCTCATAACAGCCCTATGGGATAGGTACTTTACTGTCCTCATTTCACACATGAGAATGAGACCTAGATTAAGCAACTTGCATAGGGTCACACAGTTAGTAAGTAGCAGTGGCAGAATTGGAATGATTTGAACCCAAGCTGTGTGAGCTATGCTCTTAACTGTATATATCTGTATATATAACTGTATGTGACTATTTGAAAACCACTAAAAATGTGTCAACTGCTGCTGATGTAGAATCATTAGTTATCTTTAAGTATAAGAGAGAGTATCATTCCTGGAATCACTTCAACAAATCCTGTTTGTTTAAGTCAACGTGATTGATTTCTGTGGGGAAGCAGAAAGATTGGGCTATAGTTGGAATATGATTTCCTGATAAAAACAAACACCATCAGTGTGGCAGGAAATGGTAGAAGATGACGTACAGCAAAAACTACCTAGAGAATAGGATAGGAGTGGAGTCCAAAGGTTCCAGTGCAGTTCCATGAGGGTCACAGGTGTTTATTGAATCTCTCCTGTCTGGCAGCTGTTTTGATATTAATAGGTTCTGTTATTCTTTTTCTCCCCCTCCTCAGACACATTTAATGAAGCCAAACACCAAAATGCTAACACTCTTTCCTGGAGAGAAAAAGGCTAAGATTTCTTTTACTCAAAGAATTCCACCTACAGGCACTCGGCAGACCAGCATTGCTTCCTTCTTCACCTTGCAGCCAGGTATGATGACCTGCCTGGGAATACCCAGGGAGCAAAAAGGAGTGTGTGCATTTTTCCATGCTGGAAAATTTATGAGAAGTGGTGACACCAGTGCATTGTGTTTAACTTAGCTAACTCATTAGAAGAGGATATCAAACAACAAAACATCCCCTTCTGCAAAGCATTATATACATGCTTTTACCAACATTTTCTTACTCTGTGTGCTCAGTCTAATATTAAATATTTGTATTCCCTGACAGAGCAGTGAGGAGAAAGGTATGCTTGGGGAGTTGGGGTGTGCAGGGGAGCTGACCTGCCATTATTTAGGTAAATGTCTTGGATTGGCCATAATGACCAGTCTCTCTAGGATTACTTGATAATAGATATTTCTGTATAATGCTTCTCAAATTGTCAGAGTTCAAAGATGCTTTTTTTCTTAGAAAGGTTGGCATAAAGTTGGCTTGTGTTTCATCATCCTTTGGCAGTTTTTTGCTTACATGTCCCTTTTCAGGGGACGAGCTGCCTCAGAGCAGTGTGTCTGCCAGCTGGAGGGTTTTCGGAGGAGAGCTCTAACTCTTGATGCAATTCCCAGGATTGCTTTGCATAAATCTTCAAAATCTACTGTCCCTGCCCCAAACAGAAACTTAAAATAAGCACCCTTTTTGCTTTAAGTAACAAGGGCAGATTTTTTTCAAGGACACTTCTGATTTAAAAAAAAAAAAAAAATTTTTTTTAAAGTAGGCTTCATGCCCAACATGGAACCCAACATGGGGCTTGAACTCATGACCCAAAGATCAGGACCTAGCTGAGATCAAGAGTTGGACGCTTAACAGTCTGAGCCACCCAGTCATCCCCCGCTATTTCAAAATTCTGGTATATTCTATAATCTGTTGGAATTCTTAGGCAAAGTTGAGAAATCTTTCACAAAACAGTTTCTGCAGTATAATTCTTGTTGGAGAAGGAAAAAGGAAATCATTCAGCTTTGTAATTAGATCTTGGTATAATTTGGGGGCGGGGGGAGTGGGTAGTCCACGGTATTCATCCTTAAGGTAGAACAGTATCCATTCCATGCCTGATAAAATGGATAGGCTGGACACTAGTAGTTGTTTATTATTGTTCTTCCGATTGGTTGACTTATCATCTAATTGTGTTTATTCCCTTTCTCAGGCAATGTCTGCAGAGTAGAGGACCTAATGTTCTTTGCACTATCACCAGAGGTTTTCTGAAGAGTTGGGTGGTTAATGTGATCTTAGTGACCTTACAAAAATTGTATTGTGCGTATTTCTCAAAGGATAATATCCAGGAATATATATTTGGCCAAGATCACTATTTAACAGAAACCATATTAAAGAAAAAACAAAAGCAAAACTGATGTGCCCATATACTAAAACACAGTTGGAAAAGTAGGCTGTGGTCTGAGTATACGTACCATGTTTAACTTTATTAGGTAGATCATTTGGAAGCATCCATATATTTGAGGACTGGAATATAAGGTCTGTGTTTTAGAAGGATCATTCTGGAGAAAGTAGAGATTGCAAGCAGGAAGATCATGGGGGCGCCTGGGTGGCTCAGTCAGTTAAGCATCTGCCTTCAGCTCAGGTCATGATCTCCGGATCCTGGGACTGACCCCCCGCATCGGGCGTCCTGCTCAGTGGGGAGTCTGCTTCTCCCACTCTGCCCCCCTCCCATTCTTTCTCTCTCAAATAAATAAATAAAATCTTAAAAAAAAAAAAAAGGAAAGCAGGAAGATCAGCTATAAAGGTTGTGATGAGTCTAAGACCCCCGTGCTAGGTAGTGATAGTAGCTGATACTGATTTCAGAAAAAGCCAGCTAAATCCTGCTCAGGACAGAGATTTCCTGCAGAATAATCATTCATGTCTATTTTGCTAGGAAAGACAAATGGTGGTGACCAGAGGAGTGTTTCATCTCATACAGAAAGTCAGATCAACGAGTCTAAGAAAGATGCAACCCATCTAGATCATCTGATCCAGGGCTTGGAGGACGATTCCATGTCACCCCCATTAGCCACTTCAACCCCTGCAGATACCCAGGAAGCTGGACTTTCTCCTCATTCTCTCCAGACTTCTGACCACCACAGAATGGGAATTCCATTTTTGACTATGCTGTCTTTGCCCCAGCCTGACACCTTGGTCTGTGCTGGAAAGAGTAAAGCCTCATTCTCTTGTTCCTTCACTCAGAACTTGGAAGGTTCTTACTTGCTGGGCCAAAAGGAAGGAGAGAAAGACTCTTCCTGGAAAAGGGAATGGCTTCATGGATCTAAGGAAAAAAACCATCAGGATGTGGAGAGACGCGTTCAACCACCTGGGGGCAAGGGCCTTCAGCCCTTGGACAAGATTAAATTGGAAAAGGTGTCTGCCAGAGAAACCAGGCAGGCCCCCATCCTCCTTCAAACATGCAGGGATTCCTGGAGTGGAGAAAACACAGACTCAGTGAAACAAAGCCCTTGTCCTGTCCCTGCGTTTTCCTGGGACAGTGAAAAGAATGACCAGGACTCCTGGAGTCAGCTTTTCACTGAGGATTCTCAGGGCCAGCGGGTTATTGCCCACAACTCCAGAGCTCCTTTCCGAGATGTAACAAACAATCAGAATCGGGGCTTAGGGCAGTTTCATAGTAGCTCTTGGGCTCAGTGCCAAGAGAGGCCCACTCAGTTAAATCTGCAGCCTCATTTGCTCTTTACCCAGGACTCTGAAGGTAATCAAGTTATCAGGCACCAAGTCTAAATGTCTTTATGATGGTTTGGTCCAGAAGTACCTTGAGATGACAGAGCTATAGGAAAATATTGGGCGGAGAGGGGGGGAAGGGAGGCAAGGGATGTTATTGAGCATTTTCTTTGTGTAAATAAAGCTGGGGGTGCCACTTGTTGAGACTGTATGATTGGCATTGTGTCTCTCTGTGAGGAAGAGGTGGCTGGTAACCTTGTACAAATCTGTGATGAGCACTGAGGAGGTAGGGCAGGTACTTATCCTTCCAGTAAAGAGCCCTTACTCAGCCTGCAAAGCCACCTCTTTGCCCTCTCAGATGTCTAGGACACTGCTTCTTATGGATGTGTGTTCTTCTAATCTCTGACTGTTATCTTAACCACACAACCTTGGGACCATTATTCCTGATACCTTTTTAAGTGATAAGGCACATCTCCTGGGTCTAGAGGTATGGGGGCAGGGAGAATAGAGAGAGAACTAGAAAGTAGAATGATGGTCGGGTGTTTGTTTTTGTTTTAAAGTAGGCTCCATGCCCAGTGTGGAGCCCAATACAGGGCTTGAATTCATGATCCTGAGATCAAGACCTGAGCTGAGATCGAGTCGGACGCTTAACCAACTGAGCCACTCAAGCGCCCCAATGGTAGGTTTTTAAAAAAAAAAAAAAAAAAAACTGTTATTTTTGTGGGGACTTTACAGCATTTTAAAGTCTTATATTCTGTGTTTAAACATCTCTCTCAAAAAAGCCTTGCTGGGGCCCCTGGGTGGCTCAGTCGGTTAAGCATCTGCCTTCACACGTCATGATCTCAGGGTCCTGGGATCGAGCCCTGCATCGGGCTCCCTGCTCAGTGGAGAGTCTCCCTCTCCCTCTGCCCCTCCCCCCCCATTTGTGCTCTCTTTCTTTCTCAAATAAATAAAATCTTTAAAGAAATATTTTTAAAAAGCCTGTGCTTTAAAAAAAAAAAAAAAAAGCCTGAGGTTATATAGCAATCTAGCTGTGATGATATCAGTCTTCTACAAGGTGTAAGAGAACTCCTTTTGTAAAACTATGAATCCAAATAAATGGCTGTTTACAAAGCTGACTCTGATGGTAATTAAAACATTACCATTTTATTTCTGAAAACGCAACTTTTTAATAGTTAATATGTTCTGTCATTGCCATGGGTCCCATCTTAACACCCGTGTCTATCCAAGATGTTATCCACCAGGTGGCAGTTTCCCATGTTGCAGGTGTGCTACCTTAAGAGGCTTAAACAGCCTCTAGGGGGCAAGTGTGCAAGTTCTAAGATGGAACTACTTTTAAGAGTTTAGGGTAAAATCTCTACAGAAGGGGAAAAGAGGCTCCCTACGGTGGTCCCAAGGTTGTGTGGTTAAGATAACAGTCAGAGATTAGAAGAACACACATCCATAAAAAAAACGGAAGTTTTTTTTTTATGTAGGCAGGACTTTATAAGGAAAGAGGGGAAGCCAGGAGCCTGTTTATGAAAGTTCACATACCTTAAAATTAACAGGAATCCTATACTCATGATACCAGCTGGTTACAGCGCAGAGACAAACAGCACATGCAGCATCTCTCCATATCCTTCATTTAATATCAGGTAGTGCTTCAACCCAAACACACACAGGATACATACCGTAGAGAAAGGGACCTGAGGGCTTCTGAGTCATGCATGGTATGGTAGGTACAAACCTTGGCCCAGTGCAAAGGAGCAGTCAAGGGCCTGGAAGAAGGATGGTGCTGTTTCTCCTTCCCACTTCTCTTTCCTACTGGGCTTAAACTAAAGTCCATGGAAGAGAAAGCGTTTTCAATCGGTGGAACCCATGAGGCCCCATGGCCTGGGAGGGTATTTTTGGTTGTACAGTATTACAAAATATATTTAAGAAAAAAACCCAGGCCTCCCAGCAGCAACCCAAGTGTCAGCTGGTCCAGAGGTCTGACCTCTACATCTAGGGACAGGAAAGAGGGAGAGGGTAATTGCTGGGCACTGGTGTCAGTTTATGATGGAGCAGCATAAGATTTTCCCTGCCCTGTCAACACATAAACATTTATAGCCCCTCACCCCTCAGCCCTGCTCTGCTGCAAGGAAGCCGCTGAGAGTGACAGCTGGGCACAAAGTGTCCGGTGAGACCAGTTATGGGGTCTAATGCAGTGAAGTAAGCCATTCACTTAGGACCTATTTTCACACAGAGGCAAGGAAAAACCAAACTTCTGTCTCACCCTTTAGACGGAGACATTCCAACCTATACATTTACCTGTAACAAGTGTCTTGGTGCAAAACAGGCCTTAGCTTCTGCTAAGGTTTAAAGCAAAGGAAGCATGATCCAGCTCTTCTCTTTCAGTCCAAGCTCTAGCTTTCGGCAAGACTGTTGCAAAAGATTTCTGAGAGGCAAAAAGGTCTGTGGTGAGGAAGGCAGCTATTGAAGGAATTCCAGGAGCATGAGACTGAATTTGCAGAGCTGAGTTCTGTCAGTTTCCTTTTCTACCAATATCTTCTTCCTTCAGAGCAAACTTCCTCCTTAGGACCTCAGAGATAAGGACAGCCGGGTCTTCCTCCTTCAATAAACTCCGGTTCCTGGAGACAAAATAACAGCTTGTATTTATTAAGTACTTGCTCTTGGGCAGTGTTTTGTGTCTTTGAATACATTATCTCATTTAGTCCTCACAACAGTCTTACCCAAGAAGTCTTTTCAGATGAGGAAACGGAAACAGAAGGGTTCTACAGTTTGCCCCAAATCAATAGGCGCTCAGCCAGTAAGTAGCTAATCCAGAGTCCAAAACCAAGCTAGCTGGTTTAACTAGAATGCTTTATTTCCTGAAATGGCTGTAAAATGTGGGCAAGAGTAAAGGACTATCAACCAGTTAGAGTTGGCCTACTGTGGCTAAGCTTCTGCTCCCACCTTCTGTTGCTGTCTTTTCTTACTAACATTTCCCCACGTCAGCAGGAGAAGTGACTGTGAACATGGCTATTCTGACCTTTATTATTAGTTCTGGGGAAAAGGTGTGCTGAGGATTTCCTACAACCCTGTCTGCTCATCAGAGGAGCTCTGAGATGTTTTTAATTGGAAACATATAGGTACAATCTTTTTTTTTTTAATTAAAAAAGTTTTAAATTTCTTTTTTACCTTTTGACACCCTTCACCTATTTCCCCCATTCCCACCCCCAGCCTCTGGCAAGCACCAATCTGTTGTTATCTACAAGCTTGGTTTTTTTTTGTTTTTGTTTTTGTTTTGTTTTTTAATTTAGATTCACATATAAGTGATGGTATAGTTTTCTGTCTGGCTTATTTCACTTAGCATAATGCCCTCTAGTCATTATATTGTTGCAAATGGCAAGATGCCTGGGTGGTTCAGTTGGTTAAGTGTCTGCCTTTGGCTCAGGTCATGATCCCAGCATCCTGGGATTGAGTCCCACATCGGGCTCCAAGGAGCCTGCTTCTTCCTCTGCCTGCAGCTCTCCTTGTGTGTGCTCTCTCTGACAAATAAATAAAATCTTAAAAAAAAAGGGGGGGGAAGGGCAGAAGGAAAGGGAAAGAGAATCTTAGGCAGGCTCCATGCCAGCACAGAGCCCAAGACAGGGCTCACACACAACCCTGAGATCATGACCTGAGATGAAATCAAGAGTCAAATGCTTAACCCACTGAGCCACCCAGGTGCCCCCGACCTTTTTTTTAGAGAGGGGGAGAGAGGGAGGCAAATGGCAAGATATCAGTCTTTTTTAAGGCTGAATAATACTCCATTCTGTATACATGCCACAATTTCTTTATCCATTCATCCCCTGATGAACACTTAGTTTTTTCCATATCTTGGCTATTGTAAATAATGCTACAGTGAATATGGGGGTGCATCTATCTTCTCAAGTGAGTGTTTTTGTTTTTGGATAATACCCGGAAGTGGAATTGCTGGGTCATATGGTAGGTTTTTGGGTGGGGGGGAGGGGGAGAGAGAGAATCTTAAGCAGGTTCCATGCCCATTCTCAAGACCCTGAAATCATGACCTGAGCTGAAATCAAGAGTTAGATGCTTAACCAACTGAGCCACCCAGGCACCCCTCATGTGGTAGTTCTATTTAATTTTTTGAGGAACCTGCATACTGTTTTCCATAGTGTGTGCACCAATTTACATTCCTACCCAAGGTCACAAGGGTTCCCTTTTCTCCGCATCCTTGCCAATACTTATTTTTTATCTTTTTGATAATAAGTCTAACAGGTGTGAGGTGAAATTTGTGGTTTTGATTTGCATTTCTCTGATGATTAGTGATGTTCAGCATCTTTTCATGTGCCTATTGGTCATCTATATGTCTTCTCTGGAAAAATGTCTGAGCCCTATGCCCCTTTTTTTAATCAGACTGGGTTTTTGGTCTTGTCTTTTCATTTCTTGCTATTGAGTTGTATGAGTTCTTTATACATTTTGGATAGTAACCCTTATTGGATATATGATTTGCAAATATTTTCTCCCATGCAATAGGTTACCTTTTCATTCTGTTGATGGTTTACTTTGCTGTGCAGAAGCTTTTTACTTTGAGATAGTCCCACTTGTTTATTTTTGCTTATGTTGCTTTTAGTAGTCCGGTTGAAAATATATCATTGCCATGACCTATGTCAAGGAGCTTACTGCCTGTGTAAGATAGTGGTTGAGTTTCATTCATTTGTATGTGGCTGTCCAGTTTTCCTAGCACCATTTATGGAAGAGACTCTTTTCCCTACTGTATGTTCCTGGGTCCTTTGTTATAAATTGACCATATATGCGTGGGTTTATTTCTGGGCTCTGTTCTGCTCCAATGATTTGTTTTTATGCCAATACCATTTTGTTTTAATTACTACAGTTTTGTAATAGAGTTTGAAATCAAGGAGTGTGATGCCTTCAGTGTTGTTGTTCTTTCTCAAGATTGCTTTGGCTATTTGGGGTCTTTGGGGTTCCATACAAATTTTACGGATACTTTCTTCTAGTTCTGTAAAGAATGCCATTGGACTTTTGATAGCATTTGCATTGAATCTGTAGACTGCTTTGGGTAGTATGGATATTTTTACAATATTTTTACAATCCATGAGCATGTTTGTGTTTCCTTTAATTTCTTTCCTTGATGTCTTGTAGTTTTCCGTATACAGCTCTTTCACGTCCTTAATTTTTATCCTAGGTATTCTATTCTTTTGATGAAATTGTAAATGGGGTTGCTAATTTCTCTGATAGTCTGTCAGTAGTGTATAGAAACACAACGGATTTTTACTTATTTTGTATCCTGCAACGTTACTGAATTCCTTTATTCCAACAATTTTTTTGAGTTTTTAGGGTTTTCTGTATATCATGTCATCTGCAAATAGTGACTTTTACTTCTTCCTTTCCAGTTTGGATGCCTGTTCTTTTTCTTTTTTTTTTTTTTGCCTAATTGCTCAGGCTAGGACTTCCAATATTATGTTGACTAAAGTGGTGAATGGGCATCTTTTTCTTGTTCCTCATCTTAGAGGAAAAGCTTTCAGCTTTTACCCTTGAGTGTGATGTTAGCTGTGGGCTTGTCATATCGGGTCTTTATTATTTATTATGTTGAGGTATGTTCTTTCTATACCTGCTTTGTTGAAAGTTTTTTTATCACAAATGGATGTTGAATTTTGTTGAATGCTTTTTCTGCATCTATTGAGATGAACATGACTCTTATCCTTTGTTTTATTACTATGGTATATCCTATCGATTTGTAGATTGTTGGACTATCCTTGCATTCCTTGAATAAGCCCCACTTGATCATGGTATATGATCCTTTTAAGGTATTGTTGAATTCAGTTTGCTAATATTTTGTTGAGGAATTTTACATCTATGTTCATCAGGGATATTGGCCTGTAATTTTATTTTCTCCTGGTGTCATTGTATGGTTTTGGTGTAAGGATAATGCTGGCCTTGTAAAATGAATTTGAAAGAGTTCCCTCGTCTTTTCTTTTTTGGAAGAGTTTGAGAAATATTGGTATTCTTTGAATGTTTAGTAGAATTCACCCAAAGAAGCCATCTACATGGTCCTGGATTTTTATTCATTGGGAGGTTTTTGATTACTGATTTAATCTCCTTACTAGTAATCAATCTGTTCAGATTTTCTATTTCTTTATGATTCAGTCTTGGTAGATTGTATGTTTCTAGGAATTTATCCATTTCTTTTAGGTTGTCCATTTGTTGGCATATAATTTTTATAGTCTTTTATCCTTTGATATCTGTGGTATTGTAGTATCTTTCATTTCTGATTTTGAGTCCTCTTTTTATGGTGATTCTGGCTAGAGGTTTGTCAATTTTATCTTTTCAAAGGCCCATCAATTACTTTCATCTTTTCTATTGCTTTTTAGTTTCTATTTCATTTATTTCTGCTTTAATCCCTGTTATTTTCTTCCTTCTACTAACTTTGGGTTTCATTTGCTCTTCTTTTTTTTTCTGGTTCCTTAAGGTGTAAAGTTGTGTTATTTGGGAATTTTGTTTCTTGAGATGGGCACTCACTGCTATGAACTTCCCTCTTAGAATTGCTTTTGCTGCATCTCTTAAATTTTGGTATATTTCCATTTTGTCTGTGTCAAGGGTTTTTTTAAATTTTATTTTTATTTATTTATTTTGACGGAGAGACAGAGAGGGGGGACACAAGCAGGGGGAGGGGGAGTGGGAGAGGGAGAGGCAGGCTGCCCGCTGAGCAGAGAGCCTGATGTGGGGCTCGATCCCAGGACCCTGGGATCATGACCCGAGCCGAAGGCAGATGCTTAATGACTGAGCCACCCTGGCGCCCTTTGTGTCAAGGTATTTTTGGTTTCTGATTTGACCCCACCCCCTGCCCAGTTGTTCAGTAGATGATGTTTAATCTCCACATATTTGTGAATTTTCCACAGATTTTGTGTAACTGATTTCTAGTTTCATATCACTGTAGTTGGAAAAGATGCTTGATATTTCAGTCTTCTTAAAATTTATTCAGACTTGTTTTGTGCCCTACCACAGGATCTAGCCTGGAAAAAGTTCCATGTGCACTTGAGAATGTATATTCTCCTGGTTTTGGAAGGAATGTTCTATATATATCTGTTAAGTCTACCCAGTCTAACAGGTCATTTAAGGCCAGTGTTTTCTTATTTTCTGTCTGGATGATCTATCCATTGATGCAGGTGGGGTATTTAAGTCCCCTGCTATTACTGTATGGTTGTTTCTCCCTTCATGTCTGCTAATATTTGCTTTATATATTCATAAATATTTACAAATGTTATATCATCTCTTGTTGGAGTGACCCTTTTATCATTATATAATGCTCTTTGTCTTGTTACAATCTTTGTTTTCAAGTTGACTTTTTCCTGATAAAAGTATAGCCACCCCGGCTTTCTTTTGGTTTCTATTTATACGGAATATCTTTTTCTATCCCTTCCCTTTGTGTGTTTTTACATCTAAAGGAGTCTCTTGTAGGCAACATATAGTTTTTTTAAATTCATTTAGCCACTCTTGTCTTTTGATCAGAGTGTTTAGTCCATTTACATTTAAAGGAGAATTATTGATAAATATGTACTTACTGCCATTTTATTAATTGTTTTCTATTTCTGTAGTTCTCTGTTCCTTTCTTCTCTTGCTCTCTTCCTTTGTGGTTTGATGACATTCTCTAGTGGTATGCTTATATTCCTTTTTATCTTTGTGTATTTACTATAGGGTTTTGTTTTGTAGTTAAGATTAGCCTTAAGTATAACAACTTATATCTGTAAGTCTATTTTAAGTTGATAAAATAGTTGCCAACTTAAGTTTGATCACATTCTAAAGCTCATCATTTTTACCCACGTTTCTGATGTCACATTTTACATCTTTTTATCTTGTGTATTCCTTAATTATTGTAATCATCAGTTATTTTTACTACTTTTGTCTTTTTAACCTTAATAAGTGATGAGTCCACTATTTTTATTATCTTTCCAGTGAGAGTTATTCTTTGATATGTGTTCCTGTTACTGACTAGTGCTCTTTTCAGCTTAAAGAGGTCATTTTAACATTTCTTCTAAGGCTGATTTAGTGGTGATAAACTCCTTTGGGTTTTGCTTATCTGGAAAACTCTCTCTTTAGTTCTGAATAACTTCGGTTAGAAGTTTCCTTCTTTCAGCATTTTGAATATATTGTGTTACTCCCTCTGGCCTGCAAAGTATCTGCTGAAAAATATGTTGGTAGTCTTATGGGGGTTCTCTTTTACGTAAGTTATTTTTCTCTTGCGGCTTTTAGGGTCTCTTTGGGTTATCTTATTTGCAACTCTCTGGGCCTCCTGGATCTGGATGTCTGTTTGCTTCCCCCACAGTAGGGACATTTTCAACCATTCTATTTTCTTTTTTTAAAGATTTTATTTATTTATTTGAGAGAGAGAGAAAGTGCAAGCACAAGCGGGGGGAGGGACAGAGGGAGAGGCAGGCTCCATCCCAGGACCCTGGGATCATGACCTGATGGGATCATGACCTGAGCCAAAGGCAGATGCTCAACTGACTGAACCACCCAGGTGCCCCTCTGCCATTCTGTTTTCAAATAAGATTTCTGTGCCTTTCTCTTCTTCTGGGAGCCCTATAATGAGAACATTAGTCCATTTGATGTCCCACAAGCTATCTTTACTTTTTTTTTTTCCATTCTTTTTTCTACTTGCTGCTCTGATTAGGGGAGTTCTACTGCTTTGTCTTTTAGTTCACTTATCCTTTCTTCTGTTACTCCTACTAGAGGAGTTCAGGGCAAACTAGATGAATTTTCTAGTTATTGTGTTCATCAGCTCCGTGACTTCTATTTAGTACTTCGGTGTATTTTCCACCTCTTTGTTGAAGTTCCTTGTTCATCCATTCTCCCCAGTTTGGTGAGCACCTTTATGACCTTTGAATTATCAGGCAGATTATTTATCTGTTATTAAGGCTTTTTCCAGAGGTTTTTATAAGAGAGCTAAAATTCATAGTAAAATGTTCACATCACAAGGGAACCATGGGAACAAAACCAACTCCAGATTGGGGTAGGTTTGAGTTACCTAACACATCAAAAATATCTGGAAAATAGGTGCTTTAAATTCTACTGAACTTATATACATCCTTATGAAGACATTTACTGGTCATTAGGTAGGTATAAGATCAGTCCGTCACACTTCTGAATCTTTGCTGATGTTGCTACTTTCTCATTTTTAGTCATCAACCCAGCTCTTTCCATTAACAAAGGAAAAAAGATCCCCAGACATAAGGCTCCACTCCTTGGGGGTTCTGCTTTAGTAAGTTTAAGGTGTATTTATAACAAATCTTAGCAATTCTGCTGGACAGCCAGGTTTAGAGTCTCAAATGCCTGGATTTGGAGAGCTGGTTTGCATAAGGGACCACTGTATTTTAAAGCAGAAACCCCAACTTTATGAAATTCTCCTTCCATCAAAAATAAGTCTACCAGTTTGACTGGGGGACAGAAGTTGGATTAGATGAGCCTTCTTGTAAAATTTCTAATGATTGAGTTAGATCACCCCAACCAAATGTAAAATGTTCTTTCCTCAAACTGGAGCCCCAGGTGTTATTAAGCAGGCAAGCTTTGTGAATGAAGTAATACATAGCTACTACTGAAGACATAACTTTGTAAATTCTTTCTACTAGATCACTGGCCAGAGGCGACTTAAACAGTAAACACACCACCAGAGCTCCTTGTCACATACTTACAGATCTTGGCTCTGTTTCATCCGGTGAAAGTCCTTTAGGATCCCCATCATATCTGCAAAGCTGCTGGCCTTGGACAGAGAAACACAGTCATCCTCTTCAGACGAACTGCAGGTAGCTTTGTGTTCTGGTTTGCAACATTCAGGGCTGGCAGAACAAAGCAGGGGGACTGATGGAAGCTCAGGGACCTCTACCTCGGTCTCCTCGGTGATGTCACTAATGACAAAGGAAGTTGTAGAGTGGAATGAGGATCCAAAACAAGGTAAGGGAGAAGAGACATTTGAACTTCCTGGAGATAAGAAATCTGGCGTTAATGAAGCCGAAGCTGAAAGAGAAAACAATAGGCATGGATGGACATTGGGACTAGAATACAGCAGTAGTATCTTTTCCCTACAAGCAGTGCCTATCAAACATTCATTTCCTGGGCTTGACATGACATTCTAGGAGAGCCCAGGATGTTATTTGTAAGCCTGTAGAGGATTCCTCCACTACCCACTCCTCTCAGAATCTAAAGATGGAAAAGCACTGAGCTCTTCCAGTGTTCTGTGAGGGTGGAAAAACCCACCCCATAAAGGCTTAGGCTTCTAAAAGCTCCCATTCTGCAGTGGGCTATGGAGTGACAGCCCTATTTCTACCAAAGCAACAGTGACAGAACAAAGGCCAGAATGTGTCCTTTTCTCTAACTGGGCTAGTGCTTGTGACTGTGCTCCTATCTGTGACGTGAAGAAATAGCAAAAACAGAATGGTGTAGTCCTCCTAGTTTCTCAAATCTTTAAAGAATTTCCAAAACAAAAGATTTTGTTTCATTTTTCATCAACTACTTCATCTTGACTCTTGGATGACAAAAACGCAGCCAACATATAAATGGAAAATTCAAGTACAATTCCTCTATTAAACTGCCATATGAGTGAATTAAATATATGAGAATTTTACCAACAGGTAAGGTTTGGGAGCTGTGACTTTAAGTTGACAAAGTGCAAAAAAGTGAGGATGGATAGAACAAACAGGATGATAAACCCTGGGCAGCTTGGGAGAGAGCCAATGTTGGTGTTTCATGCACTGGGTCAAGGCAGACTCCCATCCATTTCCAGTGGTGGTTCTGCCTTAACTGCAGACAGACAGGTGGAGGGATAGAGAGGTAGTCTCTGGGAGAACAAGGAAAGGGAAGATATGTAGATAGGAAGACAGCTTAAAGGGGATCTCTCTCTTATTGGTGGGGAATCCTTATTTCTCAGTGAAAAGGGAAGCTGCTTGAGGGCTCATGGAAGAGGGTGTTGGTTTTTGTAGCCAAGGGAGGGAATCTGCCAGGGGGGGTCACAGGTTAAGTGAAGATTTTGTACCTAATCAAACCAGTCAGCGCAAAATGGCTGATGGAAACCATCCAAGGAGTACTACAGGCTAGCCAGTCCTCAGGACAACCCCAGAGCCCTGGGCCTTTGCCCCTCTGAACCATGGACCATCATTTTCCTACCCTTTATCCTGTACCAAAAGCCAGGGGTAAAGGAACAGCCTGCTAAATTCTGGCCCTGACTCAAGGGCTCCTACCTGCATCAGCTGCCACTATCTTAGCAATCTGGCTGCGCAGGTGGCTCAACTCATCCTGCAGCTCCGTGGTGCGGGTTAGGGCTGGCAGGGCTGGCTTCTTCAAGGCCAGAAGCCTCTCCTCGGACCCACGCAGGTTGGGCACTGAGGCATTGCGCTGCATGACAATCAAAGGGCTGGGCTTCCAGGTATGCCTCAGGGGCCGTGTGTCACTTCTGGACCAGGGAAAGACAAGTATGTCAGAGATAGCCAGCCACTGCACCCCTTCTAAAATTCCTTCACCCATTCCTACACAAGTAACACAGCCAGGCTCTGCTCCCACTCAGAGCCCATAGCTTTTGTTCCTGTTGCCCTCAGCCCCTCATAAGCACTCCCCCTGTTGCCTGCCACCTCATGTGGGAAGGAGCTCCCCATTCCCTAGCAGACCAGCTACTGCCTCAGCTACCTGACCCGGGCATATGTCTCCTCTTCATCCGCAGCAATCCAGGCGATGTCAGCCAGAGTAGGGACTGGGGGTACATCCCTCAGACACAGATCAGAGATGTTGGGCAGGGTCTACAAGGAAGCAAAAGTCATCAAAAAACATTTATTGACATCAACTGCAAAACACAAAGGAGGGGCACCTAAATATCAGGAAGGCTTCCTAGAGAGGGGAGAAGACAGTTCCTGGTTGGAAGAAGGACAGAAAAGAGTTTGTGGGATTACAAGTAGTTCAGCACACCTGGACAGAGCTGGGGGTAGAGGGTGGTTTGCAAGAGGCAGGAAAGTGAATTAATAACTTTGATTCTAAGACCAATAATGAGCCACCGGAAGATTTTGAGTAAGAATCAGATTTTGAAAGATTACTCTGGCTGCTGTGTGGAACATGCATGAGAGAGTGAAGAGACCAGTTATGAGGCTGTTATATCTTCCAAGCAAAACATGGTGGCCTAGAGCAGGATTGGGATGTATTTTTATACATAAAGTTTTATTGGAAAGTCACACCCATTCATTTATGTATCGTCTGTGTTATTTTTTAAGCTGCAACTGCAGAAGTGAGTAGTTTTAACAGTAGTTATGGCCCCCACACTAAAATATTTACTATTTGGCCTCTTAAAACATTTGCTGACCCCTGGCTGGGGCAAAAGAGTCTTCAGTGGGACTGGTGAGAGTTACCTTTCACCAGAGATGGCCACTAAGAGCACCTTGCTTTCTCCAGCTATGAGAATACAGGTACAAGGACATCAACAAGAAGTTTCTTGGGCTAGCTCTTTACAACACCTCCATAGCTAATTGGGATCTACACGGTTTTAAGCAACTCTGTTTTAAGCAAACTGGGTAATTTTAATATTTGGATTTAAATAAAAATGATTAATCATACCAAAAGAGTAAGAGGATTCCTTAAAATAGCCCCTCAACTCAGATGAACAATAACCAGGGAACAGACAAGGCTGAGTGACTTTATGTTAAATGAAAGATCAGGAGGGGGCGCCTGGGTGGCTCAGTTGGTTAAGCGACTGCCTTCAGCTCAGGTCATGATCCTGGAGTCCCAGGATCGAGTCCCGCATCGGGCTCCCTGCTCGGCAGGGAGCCTGCTTCTCCCTCTGACCCTCCCCCCTCTCATGTGCTCTCTCTCTCTCATTCTGTCTCAAATAAATAAATAAAATCTTAAAAAAAAAAAAAATGAAAGATCAGGAGGATTCAATCATGCTATGATTGTAACAAAGTAAAAAAAACACATGCATCTAGAAAAAGATGGAAAGGAACTACACCAAAACATTATTAACTATTTTGTGTGATGAGTATGTGATTATATATAATTTATTTTCTTTTTTCACTTTTCACAATTTAATATTTTTGTATGAGTAAATTTAAAAAATAAATCAGCAAGGTTCCTTTAAATAAGGGAATTAATTTACAACAGAAATCCAGGGACAATTTCTCAAAAACCCATCTACACATGAGTTAAATTCAGATGTTTCTGCTAGATTGGTAGATGGATCAGGAGTTGATAGCTCTAGCTTTTAGACAGGGAACCTGGGTCTCATAGGAGCAATGTGATGCTCCAAGGTTACACAGGAAAGGACTTCCACTGACCCAGAAGTTACTGCTAAAATAGGCCATGTAGGGGAAGCCTCCATTTGTTTTCCTTTCCAGAATGCTGCTCCGCTATTGACAATTAAATGAGTTAACACATATAAAGTATTTAGCACAGTGCCTGGCATACAGTATGTGCTCAGAAAATGTCAGCTAGTATTACTAATAGTATTCACGCATACTCCTGATCTGTGGGAGCCTGTGCCCTTGATCGTCCCTGCCCAGAAGCATCTGGCCAAAGGACTGAAGAGGTTATAGCCAAGTGTAGGGGCAACATCCATTGAGTCCCTCACACTCCCTAGTTGTGCTTCCCTTTGTTTCTGATGCTTGAGGCAGCTAGGACCACATCCTGCCCATGCCATTTAGGCAAACCTGGATAATTGGCAATCCGGGGCACAGCATAGCCACCCCACATCACATACTTCCAACTCCATTCCTGACTCTAATACCAACCCTGACACCATTTCTGACTCCAGAACGAGTTCCTACAATTTCACAGCTCAGCATCTGATACAGAAATTCAGCCTCCTTCATTTCTGTTTCCACTGGGCCCATGTCTTTTCAGGCATATATTTCTGTTTCCTCTGTGTAGACAGAAAGCTGAAGTACTTCTCTTGTATCCCAGTTCCCCAAATGTACATGTCTTAAGCATCTAGCCTGGAGCTGGTTCTTAACCATTAATTCTTAGAGGGAGGTAGCTGGGACTAATAAATGCTACTTAGCATTCCACTGCAGAGTGGTGGGGGAGGAGTTCTCAAAGACATGCGCCAGGCAAGAATCTGCTGCAGAGTCAGTGCTAAAGGCCCCTAGATACAGAGGTAAGCCTTAAGTGCTCTAGTAAAGGAGTAGCCAGACTTGGCCAGAAAGGAAAGGATGGGGAGTAAGGCCTCAGGGAAACATAAAAATAGGTGGCTAAGTGGTCAAGTCTTAGGGCTGGTAAGAAAAGCAGAGTTCGACTCAGTCACACAACACTCAGTGTCCCACATGGAGACCTGCCAGGGTTGCAGGCAAACACCTCAGGGCAAAGACATGGCTACTCTGGGAATCTGGCTTAGCAAGGGCCTTTGTACTACTCTGATGAACTGGACTGCAGGAGCCTGATGAAATCTTAGTCACTTAGTGGCATCAAAGATGCAAGGTTATTCATTTATGAACAGATTGGAAGTCTGCTGTGGTCATAGTTTTGTGTGCAATCAGGAAGGCACAGTGACCTGTATCCATTATATGCACTTAATAAATATTTCTTGACAAAATGAAAAAGTGACCAGGAAAGCAACCTGCCTTAGCAACACCAAGTAGTCTGGGGCACAGAAGCAGCACCATCCTCCCAGAGCTCTGAGCCTCTACTTACCCTGCTCTTTCAGTATACTTACCTCGAAGGATGCCCGGGGACATGGCTTCAGGGGCAGGTTGGTCCCAATTCTTCTCACTACACTGCGAGCAGCCCCATGTGGCTTGTTTTGCCAGATTGGGATGGTCTAAAGGAGAGAGACAAGGAGTCTCAGAGATGGGTCCAACTACTGTTCCATTCTACCCTCCTCCCTTTTAGCAGGCAGACTGAAGTCCCCAATCCCAAGGACAGGGCACTGTGTGTGGGTCAAGTCTCAATATAAGTGAGGGCAGATTCCCCAGTTGCCAGCCATTTAAGGGGACATCTGCTGCTGCCAAGGCATGGTAAATGCTGGGAGGACCCACCCTCATGAAGGCATGAGGAATTAGTTGGGTATAGGGATCATATAGGTTACCCACCCTTCCCTCTGCCCAGAAAGGCAGAAACACATTGACTCCTTAACAGCCCCCAAGACCACACTTGTTTTTGCCTATTGGGGGCAAGCGGTGGGAGTATGTGGAAGGGTCGCCTCCAGGGGAAAGGAAGAATTAACTGGAGAGTCTCAGAATTTCCTATAGAATTTCAGCAGGCCCAGTGCTCAACCCTTCTCCACCACAGCCCTGCCCTGGGAATGCCCCTTACCACACTGGCTTCCATTCCTGACATTTCAACCGGCTCCTGGACTTGAAGGACAAGGCAGCCACAGGGAAGCTCTGGGGGCTTGGGGAGGCTGGAGGCGTGATTCCTTCATATCAGGCCATCTTTAAGGAACATCAGATTTCTCTTCCTATGAAACAACCCCCACAGTGGAGACTCAGTGGCTACCACACAAGCCCCATAAAAACCAGGTCCTGCAGAGTTATGACTAACACCAAGGTTTCTCTGATGTTTCACAGGGGAGAAAAACAACCCAAGAGGCTGCCCTCACTCAACAATGGCTCCAAATCCGGACCCTTGAAGGTTCTGTTCCAGACCTGAGGCATGAGCTTGGCCAACTCTGGGAGCTTCCTGATCCCTTAGGTTTCCTGAGGCATTACTTGTAGAGATGTAAATAGAACTTTCTTGGTAGTTTAAAAGCCAAATTGTAGGTACCATTCAAACCCAGCATTCATTCTTGAAGATGGGGTGTAAAAGCCCCAGCATGTGCCACCAAACCTAGTACTGCTGCGTCTTGGCAAGGGGGAGATATAAGGAAGACAACGGTAGAATAAACAACCAGCTCTTGTCAATCTCAAGTCTACTGGACTACAGGGAAGAGCCAAAAATTTTTATCCTGTTTAGCCATCTACTGGTCTTGTAGCCTTACGGAAGTCCCATAACTTTTCTGAATGTTGGTTTTTCCGTATGTAAAAAGAGGACAAGAGCTGCCATCCTAGATTACCTTAAGGATCAATCAGCGAAATAGGGTAAGATTTTAAAGTGCTTAATGAACTGTTAAAACACAACACAGATGGATGGGATCACTCCTGACTGTACTCTTCACAGCTGCTCTTATATGGTGAGCAGATGCAATCAATGAACTCATTCCCTTGTTCATCAAACATAACAATACCCACTCTTGTGTCAGGCCCCGTGCTAGGCACTGCAGGGGCTATGGAAGGAGGAAGACACACCCATGCTCTCAAGGAATGCACAATATGAGAGAAATAGGACTTGAATACATAATTCTAGCAAAGGCTGAATATCACTCTTAAGAAAGGTACACTAAGCAGGTGGCGGCCCCTGGCCCCAAGGCCTCATGGTGAGTTCAGAGGGGGTAGGAAGGGATGAAAAACAGCAACAATAGCACCGGTCCAGGACAGGAAGGCGAGAGAGGTATAAAGAGCAGAGAAAGGTAAACAGGGGGTCAAGTCATGAGGGCTGGGAATGCCCAGGTAAGAAGTCACTGGGGAGCCAAGGGCAGGCTCTGAACAGGGGATGGACTGAAACCTCCCCTGCAGGATTTCTCTTTCACCTGCGGAAGAGGAGTTATCACTCACTTTACAATACAAACGGGGAAAGGAAGCTGGAGAGAGGAAGGGAAGTGTCTAAGGTCACTCAGTGGTCACGCCAGCTAGAAAGCACTTCAAGTCTGGTCTAGATGCTGCTGCCTTCTGCGTGGGCTCAACTCCGTGCAGTTCCAGCCTTTTATCAAAGTCCCTCTGTGTGCCAGGCTCTGTGCTGAATGTCAATGCCTGCCACAAGTTTCACAGAACAGTGCTTCCCTGTGTTTCTCACTCTAGACACTACAGCCACTTCCTCTCCAAACTTACCTCCAAAGACTCAGGGCTAACACCAGCCAGAGGGATCTTTCCAGGACACGTTGCTCCTGTTTAACCCCCGCCCCTCCCTATAGCCAACAGGGTGACATCCAGACCGGGTACCGGTCCCCCCCAGTCAGACCCAACCTCACCAGATCAAACTCCAAGGCCTACAATTGGGCGCCTGCACACTTGACAGCCACACCTCCCACGTTCCCCTTGCCCTTCAGCCACGCTGGCCGCCCCTCAGCTCCTACCCACACTATCCTCTCTGCCTGAAACACCAGCACCTTCTTCACCAAGCTCATTCTTCATCATTGTTCAGAGCTCAAGCGTCACCTCCCTTTCCCTGACAGACAGATCCTTACTGCCTCCCCTCCCCCAGCACCCCATGTTTCCTTCTGAGTCCTCTCACAATAGTAATTAGAACCCGCGTAACCTGCCGTCTGTCGCAGGGCAGGAGCTTCCCCCGGCACAGCACAGTGCCTGCCTAGTCCCCAGCGAGCACTTCAACGTTTGCTCACGAACGAAGGAGAACTCCGGCTTAGCCTTCGTCCCCCTGCCCGCCCCAAGTGTCATCGGCTAGAAGACTTCTCCAGGTTCTCAGCACCCCTGCGTTCCCACGACCCCTCTCCAGGCCGCTGTCATGGCCTGTTCACACACACTCTCCAGCAGGAGACTCGGGGCTCCCCTGGGGCAGGGTCTATTCCCATCACCCCGGCGCCGGGCGCCCCACCAAGGCCGCCGCGCTCGGTGGAACTCGGCGAGCGACAGCCCGCGTGGGCCCCAAGCGGCTGCACTGGGGGGAGCCGCTGCGGGGACCTTGCCCGGGACCCGCGTCCTCTCCGCCGTAACGGCCCGACCCCAAGGGGCCAAGGTCGGCCAAGTTCTCGCCGCCGGCCCTGGCGGCCCTCGGACCCACAGGCCCGGGCCCCAGAAGGAGCGAGGCGGCCGAAGTGGCCCGGCCGGCCGAGGAGCGCGGTCGAAACAAGAAGCCTCCGCTGTAGCGCAGCCACGGAAGCTGGGTGACTCGAGCGAGCAACTACCCCCCGGGCACTGAGTCCTCCCACCCTCAGCCGAGCGAGGCGGACTACAGGGGCTCCCGCGAAAGAGGAGCCGCGGTCTCCGCACAGCGCCTGGCACTAGGCCGCATCGACAGTCGGGCTATGAGACCGCGCTGCCGCCTCCGTAGACGCACTCGGACCTACTCTCACCTCAGACTCGGGCTCCGGGACTCACTCACCTCACGGCCCCTCCTACCACAGCGGGCCGCCCAGCCTCAACCGCCCTCACTTCCGCTGACTCGCCCCCGGAAGCGATCCATTGCGGTTGCGCACCGGGGGCCGCGCGCCCTCCGAAGGCGGACTGCGGCTTCGGCGGGGGCGGGGCGGCGGGTGGCCTCACGCGGGGATTCCGAGGAAGAGGACACGCCCACTGCCGAGACCACGCCCACGCTAGCCCGGCCCTTGGGAAAAGAGGACGGCGCTTGGAGATCCCCGCGGCCTAATTGGCCGCATCCGCCGTTGGTCTCCGCCTCCTTGAGGCTCTCCTCGGGTAGTCCTGATCCGACCTCTAGCGGCGGAGCTCTGACTACGTCCCTGGCCGGACCCCGGATTGTGTGGCGTCTGCTGTCTCTATGCCTAGGCACACTTAAGAATCCTCCCCCTGGCGTTCCAGGCCCTCCGGACCTACCTCTTGCCTTGCCTCATTTCGCCCTGGTTCGCTTTGCACACTTCTAGCTTCCCAGCCAAGACCCTCTGCAGTCTTCTGTCCGGCAAGAAGAGGCCTCTTTCTCCTCTGACTACTGCCCTTCAGCTCTTTGTAGCTGTCTTCTATTTTAGCCTTTATGTATCTCTCTCTCTCTCTCACACACACACACACGGTAGATTCAGTGAGATAGTAAATCGTTGGGCAAGACCCCAGAGGCACTGGGAAAGAGACGCACATTCCTTTCAGGCTCACTCACCCACTCCCTCTTCCTGCTTAAACCCTCTCGGTCCTGCTCCTAGTCCTGGTCTCCATGGCATCCAGGCCTGGGTCACATGCCCTCCTCTGACCTCAGGATACAGCTGTGCCTGGCTCCCAGGCTGCAGTTCTTGGGTCTCAGGGACAGGCTGGCTTCACAGGGGGACAGGTTTGGGTAGTCACACGGGGCCTCTTGCTCAGAACTCTGTGCTTGCTTTAATGCTCTGCTGTTGCCCGCTTGTATATATGTGTGTGTGTGTGTATAAATATATATATATATTTGTATATATGTGTATTTATAATTATATAAAATATATATACATTTATATATGTGTGTGTGTATATATATAAATTAAGCAAGGGGCCCTGCAGTTTTCATTTTGCACTGGACCCTGCAAATTATATAGCTGTCCTAGCCAGAGACCTCAAGAGTTATCCACCCTGATCCTTACCATATTTCAAATGAGGGTTGACTTCCAGGTCCAGCTTTCTTTCCAGGATGGCAAATTATTGTTTAATCATTGATTCTCCTTCCTGGTCAATGGCAGATCTTGCAGATCCACCCTAGCTGTCTTTCCTGGGGGTGGCAGATGCTGTCTTGGTGCCCAACCCGGATCACCTCTACCCTGCCAGTGAACCCATCTTCCAGCTGCTGTGTTGGCTTCACACAGCTGCCCCCTTCCCTGGAAAACTGCACTTACAAGAGGGAGCACAGAGGCCCTAACCTGGGAATTTACTCCACCTTCCAAGTCACTGACTGACTGATACAGGGTACAAAAGGCAGGTTCTACTCTGTGGTGTGGCTTATGTTCCAGAACCCTTCTCCTGTGATCATGCCCAGGCTAGGATTTGAGACTCTATCACTGCTTAGCAACTTTCCTTTTCCCCATTCTTCGTCACTCCTTTTTATTTTTTTTTAATTTAAAAAAATTTTAAAGGCTTTTTAAAAAAAGATTTTATTTTTTTAAAGTAACCTTTACACCCAACATGGGGCTCAAACTCCCAACCCTGAGATCAAGGGTCACATGCTCCTTCAACTGAGCCAGCTAGGTGTCCCTTCTTCACTCCTTCTTATACAGGTTTTTCTTGAAGTGTACTCCCTCAAAAAAAAAAAAAAATTACCTAATGCCTACCTTAGGCTCTGCTTCTAAGACAATGGGTAATTAACTTCAGAATCTTTCTCACCAGATTCTAAAAACAGTAGTTAGGTCTATCACGAACTTAAGAACATCACTTGAGCCCTCTAGTGACAGAAAAGATAATCCCCAAAGGCATTCCAGCCATGCTTCCTTGCCCATCTGCCAAGCCAATCCCACAGAGGAGTCAGACCAAGGACAGAACTGACCAATATCCCATTCAAAGGAAAGGCACTTAGAACCACCCTAGTCTCTCCAATTTTATTATAGGATGTGTGGGTAGGGGAGGGAAGGGGCAGATGGGTGACATGCGGGAGCTGGGGGCCCTCCCCCACCATGAGCTTCAAGGCACAGTGTGTGGGGGGAGGTTCAGGAAAAGACTTGAGATGAAGATCAGAAAGCCAAGGCAATCAGTGCCTTACATGGGACAAGGACTGTTCAATGTGGGGCGGGCCCTCCTGCACCAGCACGAGAGGAAAAGCCTGCTGGGTGGCGAGGCTGAGTCTCTGCTGACACTGGGTAGCTCATGGGATTGGTTACTGCCGCCCAGGCCTGGAAGCCCAGAGACAGACTCAGGTGCCCTCCCTCCCTGTAAGGGGCATGGAAGCACTGCCTCCCAGGACGCAACTTGGTTGAGCTGGCTGGCTCACGCCTCCTTTGGTCTGGAGATCAGCGGGGAGTGAGACATTTTGGTCTGAAAGGCTTTCTTTTTCACCTCAGTGAAAATGGGCAGGGGAGAGAGGTGGGGGGCAGTGCAAAACAAAACACTCCAAAATTGAGAGAGGCTGAATCTCAGCTCTACCACTCAGTGACCTTGGGCACGTCACTTCACTTCCTTGAGACTCAGTTTCTTCATCCGCAAAATGGGAACAATTACTGTCTGCCTCACAGGTTTGTTGTGAGGATTAAATGAGGAAATACAAGTAATGTTAACAGAGTGCCCCAGACAGAGAAGGCTCAGTATGGATACTTCAGTGGCAGACAGAACTCAGCGGATGGGAGGCCTGGGAATGTGTCTGAGGAAATGTCTGCCTTCCTCTTCCAGGTTTAAGAGTGAGCCCCTGTGGGGGCAGGTGTTGGGGAGGTGTGGCTCCAAGGCTTTAATGAAAAAGTCCAAGGATCTCTCATGGGCCTGAGTGGAGGACAAGGATAGGGTTGGGGCTACACTGACCTTTTTTAAAAAACTGGAAGAAAAGGAAGAGAGGACTATTTCTTCCCATAGGTGCAGCTGCAAAGACATCAAGCTGGACCCATCTAGGATTTCAGATCCAGCCATCATGGGGCTGCTGCTGGGGGAAGACACCACCCCTTCTTTCTCCTCAGCGTTGGGGTTATCAAAAATACCTAACTGTGAGAAACTTCACATAAAAACACTTTTCTGCATATATAAAAAAGACTGGCTGTGGTCAGCGGCTTGGGACGTAGACCAAGGTCTTAAGAGAGGCCAAGGAGGGTCAATGGCCACTCGGTGGTGGGCCAGCTGGTCTGGGCTGCCCTGACAGCTGGGGCAGCACCAGCCCTGCGGGAGGCTGTGGTCTTTGGCTGAGCCACACTTCTGTGGAGCTGGGTCTGTCATCCTACTGTGACCCTTGCTGGGGTAGGCGGTTGGGGGTGCCTTGGCCCTGGGCCTCAGGAACCCCTCAGTGGACTCGCTTGCTAAGAGCAGAAGTCTCCTTCACAGTGAACCTCTCCAGGCAGCTGATCTCCAGCAAGTCCCAAAATAGGTGCTGGGTGTCCTCTCATTAGGTTGGATTGAGTGGTCTGGGAAGCCAAGGTCCCAGGTACAGTGAATTCTCCTTCTGAAGGAGGGCTTTGCCCTGAGCCTCCAAAAGGCTGTCTCCAGCTGGAACTCAATCCACTGGGGGACACCAGGCGGGGGGAGGGGGGCAGCCAGGAAGGAGGCTCCAAACAAGAGTGCTTCCCTGGCAACCCCTCCTTAACCCCCAGTCCAGGGTTTCTTGATGTTTCTTTTGGGAGAGGGTGAATGTAAGGAGAGAGGGGTGGTCCACTCTTCCTAGCACCACTCCTCCCTGATCTTCACCTCACAAGGACCTGGACTATGTGCCCGAGTGGGTGAAGTCCAGGGAGATGACCCGAGGCCCCATTTTTGGTATCCTGAACAGCTTCTGGAATCATGTGGGTAGTAAAGGGCTAATGGTGGCAGCTGGAGCCAGAGGTGCATCCATCCAGTCAGCCCAGACACCCCCGTCTACCCCCCATTGACCTCAGGTCCCACGGGCAGCCTGGGAGTGGCAGCGGTAGGAGTGCGAGGACCACTGGCTCTGGGCCTGAGGGGCCTGTCCTCAGCACTGGAGGCCCTTCCTTCAGCTCCCCTGCTCCAGCCACCGCTCCAGCCGGGCCTCTCACGGCCTGAGGGCACACTAGGGCTGGAGGAGGGGCAGGCCACGCCGAAGGCCCTCCTTCAGGAACTGCATATACGTGGCCGTGGACGGGTCTTCAAAGGTGGACGAGAAGCTGAAGACGTTGTTCTCAATATCCTCGGGCTTCATGGAGGTGATATCCAAGAAGTAGTTGGCGTTGATGTGGTGGACCTGGGAGAGGGGCTGGGTGAGGAGAGTGAGCGAGCCCCCACTGTTCCCGGTCTGCTCATGCCCTCCTGGGAGAAGGGGCCACTCTCAGGCCTCGACTGTCCTCACTCCGAGGCAGA